AGAGAGAGAGAGAGAGAGAGAGAGAGAGAGAGAGAGAGAGAGAGAGAACACACCACTATGGGCAGAGGGGAGAGAAACACCAGGTCCTTATGTAGCCTCTCCTGTCCTGACAAACTGCATCATATGAAAGCGATTAAAATTCTACCCAGTCCCTGGTCCCCTCATGCACAGAAACCAAAGGTGTCAAAATAGGCAATGCATGGTACATGTTTATTAATATTACATCTATTAAGAAACCTGCCCAAGTTGTCTACAAATAAGATGAAAAAGGACGGTCGAAGTAGAAAAGGTTGGCGCGTGTCTTAATTACTTCCATCACAGCTGTGGACAACGAGAAAACACATGCCACAACCATCTTTCAATTATTCTTTCACCGTCATCATCCGGCATGGGAGCGAGCGATCATTGCCTGGAGTCACAGTTCCAACAGGCATTGGGGACAGTACTGTGCCTGAGTCACAGTACTGTGCCTGAGCTCTTTTCAGGGTTTCTCAAGTCCTATGTGTTTACATTTCTATTTGTATTTGTAGTGGAGTCAACCCAGAAACATCATCTATCGTTGTTTGTTAAGATCAAGTTTAGGCTCTGTCTCAACTGTGGAAAAAAACAAGCTCACAGTTTTACCTACCAGATGAAAGTGATCACAGTAAACAAGCTCACAAAGGAGAGAATGTCACAAGGCTAAGTGCAGAGCTGGGACTGTGATGAGCAAAAACCCAAACAGACTCAACAGGATCCACAGCCTCAATGTCTAAACCATCTTTATTAGGATTTAATCTAATTCAAAGATAATCAAATGCCATCCTTCTCAACTCTTGAAACAAATAATCTTTGCCACGCATTATAAGACTATTCAGGAGAAGAAAAAAACCTCAATTTTTCCTACTTTTGGACTTTTTTATGATCAAGCACTACCCAGAAAATCCAAATCTGATCACTGAGTGATGAGATTTGCTGATACCAAACCCCCGAAGAAAAGAGCAGTCAGCTCCAGCAGCTAAGAGGTGACAAAGCTTTTTCTCTCTGGGCAGTAGAAAAGCCAGGCTCTGGTACTTACACATATCTTGTTATTTATTAGCTATGCCTCAGACAAGTCACTAAATTCACCCACGGAAAGCAGATAACAGCAAAACTATTGTTTGTTAGAGGAGTAAGAGGAAGCCTAGAGATACACAGCTCATAGGACTGGCCTTCAGAGGTAACTGACTGGGAGCCAGGAAACCTTTTGAGTGGACTAATTTACTTCCTATCTGGGGTACACAGGCAGCATAGAATAAATTCAGTCTTTACCTTGAATATCAATTCTCATTGCAACCAAGCCAGGAGCCAGAAAAATGATAAGGAAAAAACCAGAGCAGACGGGAGCAGAGCTAAGACAGGGTTCCCCAAATAAATTCAAGAGGAGAGAAGGTTCCTTACCGTTTGTTTCTCTGAACTGAAGGTCTGTATAGGAAAAAGTCCAGGCTAGCTGGAGAGACTCTTAGCTTAGGTTAGTCCATCTAACTCTAACGAAGAACAATACAAGTGAGGAGTACAGCTAATATCTTTTATAAGCAATATGCTCTTAGCATCTAGAACATTATAGGACTCTCAAAAGAGAAAATATTCCCCAGGTAAATGCTCCCTAAAAGTTAAAAATTCAAAGAGGAAACTTAAGAAGACATGTGATTCCTAACACTCATGCAAGCTGGTGTTTGTACTGTTGGTTTTTTCATGGTTGGCAAGCACTGGTGCAGATCAATCCTGGATTTTCCTTAAGCATACCTGTGCTGTGGTTAAGCCGCCAGAGTTCCCCACAGCACCACCTACTGTTGATGGGCTATACCTACAGCAGCTCAGTTACTGCAAACCCTGTCTGTAGCTAAACACTGAAGAAGGAAAAAGATTGTCACTGAAAAGTCAATAGTAGGGACAGAGGGTAAACTGGGAGCTAAATGACTACCATATAAAACATCTAAGCTGAAAGCATCATCTTTTGGCTACTGAAAAACGCAAGTAGACAATTTTATTTTTTTTTCAACCATTTAGTCTATAGGTATCTATCCCAAGGTTTTAAAGCTAGAGTTATGATGTGCTATGCAGGGTGATCACACAGCAAATACATGCATCTTTCATTAATGGCAAGCACTGAGAGTGTTAACTAACTTCTATGCCAATATGAGTTGTCCAACTAGAAATTGAAAGGAGTATTCTAAACTTAGAGAAGAAGGCGATTTGAAGACAAAGTTCACAGCAGAGATTTTCCTTCTGGTTAGGCCCTTTATGGACAACCAGGTCTTATTACGAAACTTACCAGGCCATGACTGGATTCCGACTTATAGACCAGACAAATACCAAATCACCCCTTTCCAGCCATTGAGGATACACAGAGCCAGCAGCCTGTCAGTCTCCTGCAAACAACCCAACCTCAATTCTGATCTAAAATTAAATCACTGACTCAAAATAGATCATGCTTTAAAAAAGATCTGGGATAAAAACAAACAAAAGAACCACCTTTTTTTCCTGAACAGCAAAAACATGGACTGAAAATAAAAACAAAAATAAAAATATCCAACATTTCTCTAACTATCTTCCATGCCCTATGTTAAGGCCTTTGCAGATTTTTTTGGTTCAAAAAGTTATGCCATCCCTGTGTTTAATTCATGATTTTAAGGTGAATAATGAAGAGATGTCACAGATGAAATCAAATGGGGTAAATCAATGGCATGTTACCATCAACTTGCCTGCCCTTATCTTAAAATAACTATGCTTAATAAATGCCCCCATTTGAATGACCAGGTCTCAATACCACAAAATGAATACAAATACAACAGTAATAAAATGATGATGATGATGATGAAGATAAACAATGCTAATAATAAAATCAACAACACAGGTGCTTTGGCATGACTTAGATGGTGGATGCTAAATAACTCTTTCACACCAAGAGAGGAAATGAAAATGGAAGTCATATTATTCATACAGAAAAAAAAAATTGCTGATTCTGCTATCATAGTCCTCCCTCTCTGCAAAAATAGACTCGGCAGTCCTCCCAAGCCAGCCATGCACTGTTGTCACAGATGTGCGCCAGATTTGCACAGGACATAACTTGGCTGTGGGGGGAAACCCAGAGTCAGCCTGAATCTTAGGCAGGAAAGAATGCCTGTTCTTTCTTGAAGGAGAATGTGGTGACTGTCAAATCTGAATAGCAACTTGAAAGGGTCAAAAAGCTGGGCGTCAGGTGGTTTTATTCCCACTTTGGGAAGTAATAAAGCAAAGTTATCTGCTCTTCCTTCTTCACTAGCCACCATGGAAAGACTTGTCACTGCCGTTTACACCATCAGGCTCCTGGCTCTAACAAAAGGAGGGCAGCGCAGGCACCAGCTTCCCACAGCCTGGCATTGTCACCAAGTTCTGAGCGCCGCTAGGTGACAGGGGCATGAGTGAGCCAGGACCAATTTTATTCTATTTGCAACCCGCATGCTTTCAAAGAAAACAGAGACAACCGAGCCGTGAAAGGACTTGGAGGGGGTGGGGGGTTGGGGAAAACAAACTTTCAGAGCCCCGGGGTCTGCATTCCCGTAGGAACTGACAGCACACTGACTCGCCCACCGGATGACCTGGGTGGGGATGCAGCACAGAGTGGGGCCGGGGGTCACCGCGTCCTCGCCCACCCTCTCACCAGCAGCCAGCGCTCTTTTCGAGCCTGGGCCTCGTCTCCGGGCCGGGGCGTGCAGCCAGGCGCAGGGTGGACAGTGGGCCAGGCTCCCAGCGCCCAGGCCGGGCTGGAGCGGGACCCTGAGAGGTACTCCCCACCCGCCAGCGCCCCGGTTTACCTTGGCCGCGTTCCGGCCCCTGCAAGGCGGCCAGGCCAGGCACCAGGCTTCGGAGACCGCGAGGAGGAGCTTGGGCCCCGCGAGGCACTGCAGGCCGGGATGAAGTGGCCGCCGGGTCCTCGCCGCCGGCTCAGAGTGAACCGGGTTAGCAGAACCGGCCCAGATCGGGCGGCAACGGAGGGCTGGGCTGACGGCGGCCGCGTTTGCTCCTCCGCACCGAAGGGGCGGGCCCAGGCAGCCTCCGCGGGAGAGCGAGGGAGGGAACTTGGAGCCAGTTGCTGCGGCCCAGAGCGCGTGTCCCCGCGCAGCCGGCACGCCCCCAGAGGGCCCCGCCCCCAGGCTACCTTCCTGCCCCACCCCCTCGGCACCGCACGCCTCCTTGCTCTCCTTGCTCGCCGCCCCGCCCACCTGCGTGTTGGCCCCACCCCCATCAGCCCCATACCCACCCTGTGTCCCCGCTCGCCCACTGCTCCCACCCCCTGACTCCCTAGTATGTGACTCCCCCACAGAACAGCGCACACCAGGCTGTACTGGGTTCCTAGAACATGTGGACAGATGTGATGAACCTTTCTGATAACCCCTCCTTGAAGATCTTGTCAAATCTCCTAATTCCCATGTGATTAGTATAGGGTTTTCTCCATGGGCTGGAATCATTTTGGAAGAGTAAGTATGCTCTAATTGAGTTTTACTGGTGGGAAGTCTGAAAGTTAGAATCCATATATATCAAAAGGACTGAATTTAAAGAAGGTTAGGGGGTCACCATATATATTCCTTGCAAAAAACAAAAACTATTAAGCAAAATTTCTCTATTTTCATCCCTTAGTACTATGAAATGTAATGGCATTTGTCTGATTTTCTCGGAAAAGCCGCTTATATATTTAAATTATGCAACTCTTGATTGCCTCTAGTTCAGAAATTATCAAATAAAAGTCAAATAACTACAATAAATTTCTGGCTATTTGCAACGGTATTGTGTTAGTACGTGATGTAGCGTTGGGCTTTGAGTGAAGGTTGGCATGCAAATGAGTTCCTTGTCAGCCTCTATTCCTACTCCAAAACCCAGTGTCAGTGGACTGAAGCTATTTTTCATCAGTGTTATAGCAAATGCAGCCAGTTTCCAGCCAAAGCAGACCCCACCCCTGCATTTGTTTGCTCCAATTCCTTGTTTTAAGCCTTGCCACTTCCCATTGTGTGTGACTGAGATGCAAACTTCCATTCCAGTGGAACGGACAGCCAAGTAAAGAATATGTTTACTCTGGAAATAGAGATGGGAGGAAGGGGTCATGATCTACTCAGGAAATATCAAGGTTCTTTCTCCTAAATATGTCCTGTAAGCCTGCAGCAGCTGAGTGTACCCCACCAGAGAACAAAAACAAGCCAGGAGGAACCCTCATAAGCAGGAGGTCAGGAAAATTCACTTCTCAACTAACTTCTCTATGCAGAGTGGACTACACAGAATCAGGATGGGGCTTTGGAGGAAAGGTACCAGTGAACTGCTTTATTGCTCATTCAGTTTTGTCATGGGCTTCTTTTCAAAACATTGACTTACAAAATCATAAAAAATTACCCTGAGCTTTGGAAACTAGAAACATAACCAGTAAGTTCTAGCTTTTGTGTTACCCAAACCAAATAATTTCTTGATAATGAAGTACAGGCCAAGAAGTCACTTAAGGCCTTTATTTTGAGGCAAAAGCAGGTGGATCTCTGTGAATTTGAGACCAGCCTGGTCTGTGGAGCGAGTTCTACAACAGCCAGAACTGCACAGAGAAACCTTGTCTCAAAAAACCAAAAACCAAAACAAACAACAACAAAAAACTGGGTTTTAAGAGGATTAGGGGGTCTCATTGAGTGTACTATTTTTCAATATAGAATCATATTATAATCCAAACCCAATAAGAGATGTGGTCAGAGAACAAGAGGTAAGCAATAATGTCTAAACCAGAACATCCTAATAATTTTTTCGTTCTATTAGTTAGTACAATAAAGTGTACTTCTACAACTTTCCATGGTCTGCTAATCTAGGAGTGGGCTTTTTGAGACAAAATCTGAAGGGCCATCATAGTCTTCTGGAAATTCACCACACTAATTTTCTTTTTTAACTAAAATTTTCCTGTGCCTAGAATATTGTTCCAGAGGAGTGGGCTGTTGGCCTGCGCATGGAATTCATTTGTCTCACAAAGATTTTTGTCTCAGAAAGTATGTAACAATGTTTGATTGGTTCTGAAACAAGCATCTGTAGATACAGTTTCTCGGTGTTAGCCACAGCCTCTGATTGTTGGGTTTATTTCATGTGGGAGAATAAGATGATAGATATCTAAAAGATGGTGGGTCAGAACCCTCAGCAGTGTTTCTTTACATAGTAAGAACCTAGTCTTTCAATCACTGGTGAAATTTCAAAAATATAAAAGCCTGTGAAGTGAATAGCAATCCACTGTAAACAAATATGCCTCCCACTGGAGAGACAAAGAAGATATCATGGCTCAGCAGCTTAGAAGCAATGGCAAGGAAAAGAGCCTTGTCATCCAAGCACAGACCCAGCAGGCATCTGGACAAATGTTGATGATACTCCTGGGAAAATCTCACCAAAGGAGAAGTGTTCCCCAGCACCCACAACCAGGGACCCAGTACGGTCTGTTTCTTTGTTCTCTTTTAGTTAGGTCAGGGTCACACAGGTCTATTTGTTCAGAACTCCCCCTAAAATCACAGCCTAACAGAGTGCTTTCTGGCAGGTTGCAGAATTATCCTGAGAGCTCCTGATAGCAGTGAGTTTCCTGATTGGGAAGAAGGAGACAAGCATGAGGTGTTTTGTTGTTTTTAACTTCTCCCAAGAGTTTCCTATGGTTGTTCAAGGTTAACTTGTGCTCTACATTCTACAGGGAAAGCCTTGAGAGATCCTCACCCTCCAGACCAGACTCTAAGGAGTTTGAGTTGTATGTAAGATTAAGGTTATTGGTTGAACAAACTCTGTCTTTTCCCTTCAACCATTATTCTGAAGGTATAGAAAAAGCAGAGAGGGGAGAGTGGAATGTACTTCAGGAGTGGGGGATGGGTTAGAAGTAACAGGCAGCAAGAGAAAGGGCAGCCTCTGGGAAAGCAGACATAGGAGGGCCTTGTCAGTTGCTGCGCCATGGTCAGTTCACAGTCAGTAATAGCCTGGGTTTATCTAGTGCTTCTGGTGTCAGAGTTTACCTTGCACTCCTGCACAAGCTCAGGATGCTGATGGGTGCTCATAGACAACAACCAGAACCTACATCACTAAACTCCAATAGCTACCACTTCCTAAATACTTAGTCTGTTAGGGCACTTGCCTGCTTCATTTTTAGTTGACACAGGCCACTGAACATAAATATTATGATGAACATTTCATGAAGATATTCAGGACAAGGAAAAATAAGTGGCATACCCAAGGTTAGAGTTAACAATTTGAAGATTTATGAGCTGACCCTTGTGACCTGTAGTCCATATATCTTTTACTCTAAATCAAACATGCTCATGGATTTCACAAATCATCTATCCAGTGAGCCAGTCAAACCACAAGAGGCCACTGGAATGTAAATGAATTGAAGTTTCAACACTTCTAAATCCCTTGCGTTTAATTCTGATTCACTGAATTAAACTTTTTAATTTTAAGTGCCAGTGACTTAAAGTTTTCTTCAACACAGTACTTTTTTCAAGTGTTCACTAACAACATGTGGCTGATGGGTGTCCTGCTGGCTGGCTCAAATTAAAACAAAACCATTTCCATTGTCAAAAAGAAAAAAAAAATTCTGCTTGATAGGATGGCGGATGGCCCTTCACACATTTATCTGTGTCATCAGGTAATGCAGAGTTCTTTGTGATTCGATTTTCTGAGTATGTTTTTCCAGCCCGTGGACGCTAACTGTTGTGATGGAATTGTGTCCTAAAGGAATAATCTGTTTCTTCATCCACCTTTCTCAGCAAGCCATGCTGTACTAAGGACCAAAGGAAGACAGACGGGGGTTAGGGGGAGGTATACCATGAGGCTTCCATTCCCAGACCTCCCTGCTGGCATCTCTCCTCTGTATTTCGTCTTCTTGCAAATACCTGCCTGGCACTGGAAAAAATATATTCCTTGTTAATCTTTGGGCCCCAAGTCGGCTTCCATACATTCCTGATTCCCTTGTAGATGGTCTTTTTTTAATTCCATGCCTCCAAACAGAGCTGTCTCTTGGTGTCAATGGGGATTTGGTCCATGATCTTCACTGTAACACAGTCCACTGTTAGATGATTAAGTTTATTATACAATAAATAGTGTCATATTTGCATATAACCTGTGCATAGCCTCCTGTAAATGTGAGTTCTTCTCTGACCTGTTTGTAATACCTAGTGCTCTGAGAATAATTGCTGTACTCTATGGCTTGAGTACTATTCTCTGGAGTCTTTGGAGCCCATTGTAAATGGCTGTTATGCTACATTGCTGAAGAAATGGTGGAAAGGAGAAAGAGCTGTCTATGTGCTACACACAAACACACACAAAGTTTTCTGAATATCTGTGAATTGTGGTTGGTTTAATTCCAGAACACAAAACCTTGGATATGGGGGCAAATTATACCAATGACTTGTGGCTTTGGAATTTAAATATCCAGTATCCACCTTTTGTACCTCCCTTCAGAGCAATGCATTTCTCTAGCTTTCTCCTAGAAGAGTCTACTCAAAGACCATCAATGAGCTGTTTGTGACTAATCTAACATATGTCTAGAAGTGGAAGCTTTCATTTGAACACTTTTACAGAAACTTGACATCACCTGGCATTGCTTTATAATGTATGTACATAAAATGGTTGATAAACTACAATGGATTTAAAATTGTAAACATCTGTGTCTGGTGGTGTCGACATGCAGTCCCAGCTACCCAAAAAGCTAGAGCACTTAGTTGAAATAAGTATATGAGCAAGTGAAAGTTCATTGCCAGCCTGGTTAATGTGGGGTAACTCAATCTCAAAATAAAAAATAAAAAGAAGGGTTGAGTTGTAGCTCGGTAGTAAAACACTTGCTTAGCATGAAGGGAGGTCCTTTATAGTTTAGTTCCAGAAGCCTCTTTGTTAGTTTAAGCAAAAATGTCTCCTGTAGGCTTGTATC